ACATGAGGAGAGGAATCGATATGGAGCCAGTTGCCGTGACAGAGTACTGCAGTTTAAAAAATGTGAATTATTCACCCTGCGGGTTCATCATACACCCTGATGCTCCATGGCTGGGATGCTCTCCCGATGGAGTCGTTTTCGATCCTTCTGACAACCCACCATTTGGCCTGCTGGAAATAAAATGCCCCAACATCCAGAGTTATGTTGACTGTCCCTACCTCAAAATGTCAGACGGTTCTTTGCAGCTTAGGAGGCAGCACAAGTATTACTGGCAAGTGCAAGGTCAGATCCTCCTAACAGGTTTCGAGTGGTGTGATTTTGTTGTATGTGCGCAGGAGGACATGTTTGTTGAGCGTATATACAAAGATATTGATGTAATGCGCACCATTAGAGACCGAGCAGATCTGTTTTTTTTTTACCACTACCTACTGAAGTGTTTGCGTGTTTAGGTCATTTTTAGATAACCAGTGAAGTATTTCTCAATTTCTACAATTGTACAAATGTTGCTTTATTTCATGACTGTGTGTTACAGTGTGGCCACATACCACTGGTGGTCCATTCAATTATAATATACAGCATTATATTTATTGTATTATTATTTGTTATTTACACTATAAACAATATTTACAAATATATACAAAATACTCATATATACACACATACTATATTTATACAATATATATACACCTGTATCTATTATATTACATTAGACATGTATATGTACATATATATTTAGATTTGTATAGGCTAGTTAATAAATATGTTGTTATGCATTATGAAATTATAATAAAAAATGCATAAGGAAACACTGTCTTAGTTTTGTCTGTTGATCAGAGTGTGAAATGCATAGTTTTTACAAAAGTATATGTACAATATTTACATTTACCTTAGCACATTAACAAGGATGAGGGTTTTTAGACTCAGTGGCTCCATGCCTTGACAAGTGGTCCACATTGGTAGTTCACAAGCAAACATGCCACTGTAAACAGTTGGTTTATGCTACCAGAAATGGACAAGGGGATGACTGTGTCAAACAACTTATGCTCCTTCACTCGACGGATAAGACGTTCAACGTGTACCCTGAGCCTGGCCACAGACTGAGTGTGTGTCACTTCATGAGGTAGCATTTGTTTTCCCTTGGTCAGGAAAACAGGCCGGTGAATTTTGCATGGCACTAGGCTGTCAATTAAGAAGCCCTTATCCACCATGATGGCCATGTCAGGGGTAAGAAGGTTAATGATCCCTGACTGTTTGAACAACTCCCTGTCACTTATAGACCCTGCATAGAGTCCAGACACAAATGTTATTGCACCATGAGGTGCCATTCCTATTAAAGCCTTGAATGTGCAGTGAGACTTATAGTTTGAAAAAACCTCACTTTGTAATAGCAAAGAGGAAGGTGTTTGGCAGCGGATCTCAGTACAATCCAGGATAACCTGTGTGTCTCGGAAAAGATGAAATTCCTCTGGCAAATGGGCTCGTACTCTCTCTTTCGGCATCCAAATGCACACTGACCCCAGGACAAAGTACAGGAAGTTGGCCCAGGTTGTTATGATGCGGCTCACAGTGGCCTGATGTACATGGAAGCGATGACCAAGGTCCTTTTGCTTGAGGCCCAAAGCAAGATGCATCATGAACAGGAAGAACTCGTCTATTGCAGGAAGTGCCCGAGTGTTTCCACCCTCCTTGGTGACTTTGGAGTTGGTGACACGAATCATTCTGTGTGTTGCCGGTTCAATCAGTTCCCAGAAGGCCATCAGGTGGTTATAGGTTGCAAATCTGTCAAGAAATAAACGTGCATTGGTTCTCACATGGCATAAAAGACTTAGACTTAGCTTTATAATATAGTCATTTTCAGTTTAGGAAATAAGAATGGTGAACTACAAGTAATTGATACAACAATCTTGTAATACATCATGAGTCATGAAAATTATGGAATTCCGTATGTATGATTAAACTAACTCTGATTGCTGTTGAAGACAACATATGTTATTCATACATATAATTATGTTAGCCTATGTTGTTATTATTTTGGTCGGTGTAGCCTACTTTTACGTGCAGCTAGCTTATACAACTCAAATAATATTTAATAACACTGTGGACTAGTGTTTTCAAGACAAAGGCAACGCTATTACAAATGCTTATCACAGGCAATATAATTTTACCTTGTATAAAAGCGTATGTCCTCATCGGACCCAGCAAATCTCTGGAGACCGAAGCGAAGTATGATCTTGGTCTGGTCCAACTGCTTCCGTAGATCTTCTATCTCCCTCGTCAACTCCTCATTTTCATGTAATACCATGTCCACAGCTGCAGCTTCGGGAACTGAACAATAATCGTGTCCAGTCCTCTCCACGTCAATATCCATATCTTGCTCTACGTCCGAGTCAGGATCAGGGGGCAGCGGTCTCTCTCGCCGTTCCCAAACACTCGACCTCGGCGGCTGCACTTGGTAACTCAAACAGTGTAGGGAAAGCACCTTTTTTCAGACGTCTCAGTCTAGTCCCTTCCATAAAGTCATCAGGTTTGAAATGAACACTACACACCTTTGTGTTTTTGTTGACTTGGAAGTCATCCCTCCTGATCTTAACGATCCATTTTTTTCTGAGATCCTCTTCCACGGGAAATGAATGAAAACTCACAGTCGAGTTGTATCTTGCCGACACAACGCACGACGGCACACAACAATGTTCCGAACTAGGTCGCATTAGCTTTTGATATCGGAAAACCTTTTTCTCCATAGTTAAGCTGCCAAGATAAGAATAACTAGAATGTTTGTCGTTGTTAACTTTCGCGCGTCAGATCTAATACGGAACCGGAAACTGTTTGCCCAGTAGAGAGTGTAGTCGGAAACACGTCACAATCCCCGCTGCATAGAGCCTATGACGGCATCAAAACAATGAAAGCATGGCGAAGCGGCTCTCCACGGCTCTGCTTTCCTCGGCGAAAAAGTTAAGAAACTCGACGCTATAAGCCCTCAGTGCCGAGCCGAGCAGTTCGCACGTGACTTTTATGCAGTGTTTCCCACACATAGACTAATTCGCGGCCACAAAATCAACTCCGGCCGCCACATATTGCGTTTCGTTCATTTTTTTTACGCTATTTAAAACACGCAGCGCATTCTTTCCGTTGTATTTCCTTTTCCCGCTTTCCCTCCATCTCTCTATCACTCACGCGTCTCTCTCTCTCACATACACGCACACACACACACACACCGCGTCTGTCTATGAGGCGCCGGACTGGACAAAAGCGAAACGAACTCCGCGAGCGACACTGGGCGAGAGAGAGAGACAGAGTGTGACTTTATTTAAACTTATATAAACTAATATAATTTATTTTACAGGACAGTTTAAAGCTCATAACCATATTTTGTTGTTACTTGAAGAGTGCAGTGTCATGTGGCATCATGCAGTATGAAAAGGCTACTCAGTAAATGTCTGTAATTTAAGGTCATTCCTATTTTATTTGTATACATTTTAATCATTAACTTTAAAAGCACACTCTTTTTATGACTAAAATAACAGTAAAGGGTAAAAAAAATGAATTCCCAAAAATTAAAACGGAAAAAAACGGAATTTGGGAAAAATAAAACGGAATTTGGGAAAAAATAAAACTGATTTCATAGGGCCCTAGATATTGCACACTTGGTTTTCATTCTCTAAAACCACTTTAAATTAGACATTCAAAGCCAACAACTCTCAAAGCCACCCTGTAAGTGTTCAGCAAATGGTACAGGAATCGATATGGGAATCGATAAGGAATCGCATCGATAAGCAGACTCGACAATGGCATCGATATCGATAATTTCTTAATGATGCCCATCCCTAGGTCTAACGTTCACAAAATTCACGGTTCGGTTCGAAACGATACAGTGGTGTCACGGTTTTGGTACGTTTTCGATACAGCAAAAAGAAAGAAATACCAGAGAAATTTCCTTTTTATTAAAAGAAAAATTATTTTTAAATAAGTGCGAGTTTTCCTACATCTTAAAACTTTTAGTTTTATAAATGGGGGTAATCTTTGAAGGATGAACAAATAATGTTTTGGTCATCACATTAAAAGTAACATTTAAATATTATAATATGAGTTTTGAAGTGCTGGAATAAGATGTGTGATGTACTTGAAAGCATTTGACTATTTCTGCCAAACTTCCATGGTTACAAGTTACAGTAAACCCATGGTGAATGTTGCTGATCTGTGGACTTAAAGCCTATAACTAGTTCATTCATGGAACAATGTTTCTCCTGGTTTCCACGTCAGCGCTGTTTGATCCGTTAATAACGGAGACATTTTAATGCTTCTCACTAGATCTCGTTTTACTATGCATATCCTCATCTGCATATCATTTGCATATGCATTATTCATCCAAGTGATACCATGTTTAAGGCTACAAGACATTAGGAAAATATGAGATCCAGATGTGTCGTCACATTACATTGCTAAAAATCATTTAGTAGCTTATCCTTGCCTTGTTTTTGAATAAATAAATCAAATAGTATAAAATATAATTCATTAAATGAGGCCCCAGGCAACAGACCAGCCTGACCAAGCTGGGACACCAATTATGAGAAGTTTCTTCTGCTAGTTTGATTAATACTCCTTTACTTGCCCCTCTCTTTTTAAGGGTTAATAATTATCAACCTATTTTTGTACTGGGTCTAAAATCTAAATCAGTTTCACAATAAGATGATTTTGTTTAACCCTTCACAACATCAGAAGTAATACAGTGATTAACAAATAAAACAAATTGAGATCATATTACCTCAGTGGCTCTTTTATTATTAAACTTTCTATTTAAATTGGGATTTTTGAAGCACTTGTTAAAAGCTTTTTGAATTTATTTATTATTTTTTATTGTTTTGTATGACTGTGATCAATTAAAAAATGTAATAGTCTGTATAGAATTGTGACTTGTAAATCAAGGTTAGTCAGTTTATTTTTTGTACCTGTTAAACTGATCTGAACTGAGAGAGTGAAGAGTGTGTCATGTTTCTTTACAGGTTGCATGATTGTGGCGTCACAGATGAAGGTTTTGCTGCTCTGGCTTCAGCTCTGAGATCAAACCCCTCACACCTGAGAGATATGGATCTGTCATGGAATAATATAGGAAATTCAGTCATACTGCTCTCTGCTGTACTGGAGGATCCTCACTGTAAATTGGAGATACTGTGGTAAGATCATATTTGACTCTCACACATGAATCACAATGTAAAGTATATTTGAAGTGTTCAGCCTCTTTCTGCTGCTGTGAGTTCAGCTGATTGAGCTGTAAATGATTGAACACATGAGCTGATCCTCAATAACATGAAACTGCAGGACTGAGAGTCACACTGAAATACACACTTTCACACACAAATCTATGGAGGGATTGTTGGGTCAGATTGAAAACTAAAAGTCTAAAACTAAAAGTCTTAAACGAAAACCAAAAGTCTAAGTTTGAAACTAAAAGTCTAAGTCGAAAACTAAAAGTCTAAGTCGAAAATGAATTTGGTATTTAGGATTGGGCATTTGGTATTTAGGATTGGGCATTTGGTATTTAGGATAGGGCATTTGGTATTTAGGATTGGGCATTTGGTATTTAGGATAGGGCATTTGGTATTTAGGATTGGGCATTTGGTCATTTAGCCATTTAGGATTTAGGATTTGGCATTTAGGGATTTAGGATTGGGCATTTAATCATTTAGCCATTTAGGATTGGGCATTTGAGGATTGAGGATTGAGGAGTGTATGCAAATAAGGAGGCGTGGCCGAAATACTGGAGGCTGGGTTTGAAATGGCTGGTGCAGATGCACCTTATGGACAGCAGAGGGCGCTCCAGTGCTAAGGAGCACACTGTAATGAAACCAAACAGAGCGAGTGAGCAGGTCTGGAGCGAGGACTGTACTTTATAATGTGATAACTTCAACTTAATGACAGCGTTGTATAGGGGTACTGGAACGGTACATGTATTCCTATTGAACCGAAACGGTAGCCTACGGGCGTCACGGTTCGGTGCACGAATTTACACGGAGAATACACGGTATAAAAATAAATAAAACTCTAAATAGCGATACATTTCGCTCTACTCGCGTTTGGTGTGAACGCAGCACAGGCTGCGACGTCAAGGTTGCAATGTTGGAGTGTGTGCTGCAAAGTTCAAACTGCAAAGTGTGCATACACACAGACACACAGGCTCTCTCTCTCAAATATAATGATAATTATAATTTTTGTTTTATTTTATCATATGATTTGCGCATGAGCGCATGTACCGCTCTCGCACGCTATTTCAGTCACAATACAGACAGACAGCAGACGTGAAAAAATGGTATTTGCTGTGAGAAACAGAATGGACCTCGGGTTCGGGCTTAATATGTAAATGTAATTGTCGGGTCGGGTCGGGTCGGGTTAAATGATCGCGGGTACGGGCCGGGTTCGGGCTTCAGTTTAAAGCCCGTGCAGACCTCTAACACACACACACACACCTAGTTCGTTCGCGCCCACGCCTCCCCCTCTCTGTCTCTCTCTCGCGCGCGCACACACACACTCCAACATTGCAACCTTGAAGTCGCAGCCTGTGCTGCGTTCACACCAAACGCGAGTAGAGCGAAATGTATCGCTATTTAGAGTTTTATTTATTTTTATACCGTGTATTCTCCGTGTAAATTCGTGCACCGAACCGTGACGCCCGTAGGCTACCGGTTCGGTTCAATAGGAATACATGTACCGTTCCAGTACCCCTATACAACGCTGTCATTAAGTTGAAGTTATCACATTATAAAGTACAGTCCTCGCTCCAGACCTGCTCACTCGCTCTGTTTGGTTTCATTACAGTGTGCTCCTTAGCACTGGAGCGCCCTCTGCTGTCCATAAGGTGCATCTGCACCAGCCATTTCAAACCCAGCCTCCAGTATTTCGGCCACGCCTCCTTATTTGCATACACTCCTCAATCCTCAATCCTCAAATGCCCAATCCTAAATACCAAATGCCCAATCCTAAATACCAAGTGCCCTATCCTAAATACCAAATGCCCAATCCTAAATACCAAATGCCCAATCCTAAATACCAAATTCATTTTCGACTTAGACTTTTAGTTTTCGACTTAGACTTTTAGTTTCAAACTTAGACTTTTGGTTTTCGTTTAAGACTTTTAGTTTTAGACTTTTAGTTTTCAATCTGACCCAACAATCCCTCCATACAAATCAACATTTCAGTCTCTTGACTTTAAACAGACTCGAATCAAAGAAAAACACATAGTGTTATCAGTGTATGAGGAGGAACTCTGTGGTGATCAACTATCCAGCTCAGTCACATGAAGACAGATTTTAGTGACCATAGTTTCTTACAGTCAACTGAGGGAAAGAGCGTTGTTGAATGTTTAATTTTCTGATCTTCATTGATTCAGTAAGATTTTTAATGAAGTGGAACCTTGCTCTATCCTTGCAATGAGTATTTTTTAAAACATCATCCATTAATTTAAAGGGGGTATCACTCCCTCCAGGAAATAAACGACACCATGGTTCTGGTTACTGATGGATTTATTGCACTTGTCATCCTTTTCTCCATCAATGAAATCCACCGTCAAACTACAGTAAGACAATGTAAAAGATAAACATGTTCACACACACTATAAAGAGGTAAATACAAATACACTCGGGGAATACGAACGTAATACACATACCTCGCTGGCTGCATATAACCAAGAGGGAATGAGTTCACTTGAAATACCCGGTTCAAAAAACAAAAATAAAAAACATCTTTACTTCTTCGCTCAAAACACGAGTAACTCTTCTACTTCACACACGGAGAATAACTTCTCACCAAAAGTCTGTTTTTTCTGTTGCACCTTAAAAAGTGTGATCTGTGACATACAGATCCTAAAGAAAGCTCAAAACGCAAAATGTACTTTGGTTCTTAGTTAACATCAACACTCAATATTCATAAATAGATTAAACAAATATAACAAAACATTATAAATAACAGAAAAAATATGTATGGCAGTTATAGGGGGTGAGAGGTTCTGCAAAAAGAGCATGATTAAATGACTCTAAAAAAACAGATGTACTGTATCATTGTTCACAAATCATTATACACACATAATTGTGTAATGGTAAATCAGTGGGCATTTTATTTAACCATTTATGAATGAAGTCCTGGATAATACAGGGAGATAATGGAAAGAGTTAACATTCAGATTACGTCTTAATGATACATTATTGTTTTTGATGGGTAAACACAACTTGTCACAAGGTCAGTTATATTATTGTGGAGTGATGGAAACAAAATTTGATGCTTTCAATGAAGGTTTTAATGTGGATGTTTTTATTCTTGATTTTAAATATTTTAAAACAAAGGATGAGGAATGTTTGCTTGCTTTTCTAGTAGGTCCAGTGAAAATGTCAATTTAATTACGAAACAGAACTGATTTTGGAGTTGACTGGGATATAGTGACTGTTTTTTAAACAGCTTTTCAAAGCATAGATAAAACATTCTTTTTTTTAAACCTTGTATTAATTACATTTCTAAACTATCTGGACTTTAAAAGAGATACTTTATAATTTTGAAAATAAAATATTAAGCAATTTGTTGACTGTGTAGAATTAAATAAAGTTGTTTTTTGAGGTCTTCTTTGAAAAAAACTCATAACAAATCAATGCTTCATACTATGGAAGCCCTGAACCGCAAGGTGAGAAAAAAAAAAGAAAACTTATCTTGTTATTTCGACTTAAGTTGTTATTTTCTACATAATATCTCATTATTTCGACATAATATCTCGTTATTTCAACATAATATCTTGTTATTTCAACATAATATCTAATATGCATTCTAATATGCATTAAGTCACATTTAGTGTTCTTATAATAGCGGTGGTGGTGGTGATGGCGCAATGTATAAGACACATGCCTTTGGTGTGAGAGACCTGGGTTCAGGGTTCAGATCCACTGTGAGACACCAATGTGTCCCTGAGCAAGACACTTAACCCCTAGTTGCTCCAGAGGCGTGTGACCTCTGACAAATATAGCAATTGTAAGTCGCTTTGGATAAAAGCGTCAATTAGTAAATGTAACAATGGGTTTCGGAGGAAAATGCTTAACGTCAAATTAAACGTTCATATTCTGGACTTATCTGATTTTTTGTAGTATACTATATTATGATTTTAGTATCATTGATTAATAAATGCACGCACAATTATCCGTGAACTTGATAAATGTTGCAGATATGTTCTAGGTTATCCACAAACAAATTGCTTTCAATTATGTGTGCAAAATTCAACGAATGTGTAGCAATTTGTACAAATAGACATTTTTGTAAATAAAATACATTTTTGTTTTATTTTGTATTAGTGATTATAATTTGCACGTGTAACAAAGATGGCCTACACGCGTGCATATTGATGCCTTTTCTGAGTCGATCTCATTTGAGAGTATTCGGCAATTTGCATAACTTGTATTTAAATGCGCTGAATATTTTACATATTCTGGGCTCATCAGATTTTTTTGTAGCCTAAATAATATACTTTATTAGTATGATTATTTACTGTGTTTGGTCTGTTAGTAAATAACACTGTCCGTTATGTTAAGGTTTGTATTCATTGCGATATGCCACTAGAGGGCAGAATACGACCGGGAATTAAAGAACGCATTGTAGGCTAGTTATGTTGTGTTGATCTAGGCTACTGTTATGCACTTTTATGCAAGTTGGTGCTCCAAAATCCCAGAGGTTTATCGTGGAAATTTACAATCAGTAACGTCTCAGCTTTCAATAGGCCTATATTTTATAGTTTTTTTTAATCCTTAAACAACAACAATAATAATTAAAGCTGCAAGCAGCATTTATCGGGGTTCAAGCGTTTAAGGCCTTTAAGCACATATGCATAAAAAGTAGTGGTGGGCATAGATTAATTTTTTTAACCTAGATTAATCTCACTGTAATCTTGGAATTAATCTAGATTAATCTAGACCTCTTACAGACCTCTAGGGCCATGAGTCGAACATGCCCATCGAGTTTCGTTCCGATCGGCCTTCGTTAACCTCGTCTTATAGGTGCTCAAACTTCATTGGCTGATGGCGGCCATGTTTTGAGATAGACCAATCTCCTCATAGACCTACATGGCACCTTGGACCAAGACACTGCATACCAATTTTCAAGTCAATCGGACTAACGGTCAGGTGGTCATAGCCCTTTTCATGTTTTA